AATATTTTCATAGAATACCATGACCTCAAATCTGAGACTTTTTTACAATATGTTTCTTTTCGTTTTACCAGTCTATAATTTAATCCTAGCTGATCTCATTATTTACAATTCAATTTCGTGAAAAGGTAACTTTTATCTACTTGATATTGCGTTGGTGTATGATATTTAGTAACGATATGCTCACTCAAATGTACATAAAAGCTCAAATATATTATTAAACATAATAACTGAGATTGCTTTTAACCGTTGAAATAATGCATGATGATAGCTTACAGAATACAATTAGTTTTTAACTTAGCTCTTAGAAGAACTCTTAATCCAAAGAGAAACAAACATATTTCATTTAGCGAAGATGGTATGTTGAAAGAAAGTAACGAATGTGATACACCATGTTGTTGTTTTTTCATCTGCTGATGTTAGGTTTCAACTTTCGAATTTTACTTATTAAAACACGTTATTAGGTTTAATTATGAGGAATATACACTCGTAAATCGATAATGTTTAGTAGACTAAAATGACACATTTTCAAACTATCAAACACATTACTGGCTTTATACAGGACATCAATTTTGTTTGTATTACAAATTACATGTGGCAAAATTGCATAATTGTTTGTCTCCTACCTTTAATATAACACATATATCAATATCAATCGCTATATGGAGTCTAACTATGGTAATGTTTGCTCAGGGTTGAGCTGTATGTTCATTGGAATTGGAATTATCACTAACATATCTATGATGTATGAATTCTTCAATTTATATTACTTTAATTTGAAAATACTGTTGGATATTTTGATTGTAATTTTTCCTTGATATCATTCACTTTCGATTGGGAAGAATTTCAATAGATTAGTGGTTGAGTGACAGGTATAAATGTATATCAAACGTTTAGAATCAGTGTTATTATTACACATTTTATATTTTAACGTCCACTGTACACAATATAAGTGCAAAGTTTATGGTGTTTTGGAAGAAGTAATTTTTAAGGTAATTATAGCACAAAATGTATAATTAAGCAAAAGGTGGTTCCTGATGCGCATAACTCGTAGTAGATTTCGTAAGTGTCAGTGAATGCATGAATACAAACAGCTGACTGTAATTATCCTTAGTGAATACAAACAGCTGACTGTAATTATACTTTGTGAATACAAACAGCTGACTGTAATTATACTTTGTGAATACAAACAGCTGACTGTAACAGTCACCTGTCTAAATTCACAAAGTATAATTACAGTCACCTGTCTAAATTCACAAAGTATAATTACAGTCACCTGTCTAAATTCACAAAGTATAACAGTTATTGTTTGTGAATACAAACAACTGACTGCAGGTATCTTTGGTGAATTTCGACAGCTGACTGTAATTATCCTTTGCGAATTTCCACAGCTGAGTTATGTTGTTCATTTTCCTGTATTATTCAGGTACACATATTTCTTCTCCTTTTATTAAAGTCTAGAACATTCAATAAATTTCAAAAAGGAGTACGAGACCCATAACTCGGAACCTTAATAAACACAGATACTTATAAAAACTAGAGAAGTATAGCTTGGTCTTCATACATCGTCCGTGGTTTTAGGTTTAAATAAGTTGTTTACAATCGATAGAAACGGGAGTATAAAAAACTAGTATGATTTGGAGTGAGAAAACTACTGTGTATTCTTGAGATTTTTTTGTTACATACAAAATACTTAGAGAGGAAACATTATTCTTAGATACACGCTTATATGATATTTTAATTGTTAATAATATGTGTAGAATACTTCATAACATTATCACATGTTAAGCTTTGCCAAATATTAAAGCATTTACTTGAGAAGCACATACAACACTAGGCGTTTGCTGCTTATATTCAAACAGCTCACCAATGCATGCAAGAAGAAAATTATCTTGCCACCCAAGTTTTGGCCTTTTATAATCACATTCAACATCTCAAGCTACAAGATGCTATAAAACCCATTCCAAAAATTACACAATGTCCATCTATTGTAAAGGAAAATGCAGTAACTACCTATCCGAAGTTTTATATCTGTTTCATGGTTTCTTAGATATATGTGTAAACACTGTAAGCAAATCTTGAAATAGTTCTGGAAAAAAATGAGAGTGACCAAGGCAATTCGGTTTGGGATAGCTGGTGTGCAATATTAGTTTGACATAAGAGATAAATGACTTCCGGCACATGTTTCTGTTTATCAGTTGAGTGAAAGGTAAGAAATATATAGAAAGTGGAACCAGGAATAAAACTCAACCTAGAAGTGTCATAATTTGGGGTTACTTGAGGCAGGTGGGTAAAATAAAGCAACATTGCAAACGAAAGCAGTAGACACTTTGTTAGCAATGTTAAGGAAGCTCACTAGAGACCTTTTTACAGGAAAAAATAAATCTTGTATTGGACAGTTTCAGTGTATTGGTGATTCCAATAACTAACATTTTTTTTCAATACAATAACCTGAGCTACGTAAACAAGGAACTACAAAACTAACATCCCTGAAAAACTTCATCTGGAGGTCTGAGAGGAAGAGATTGATTACGTAAACTCTTTCACGTTTCCTGCAATGTTGCTAAAGAGCTAATGACAGGTTTATGGATTAATTCTTAGGATTATATATATAGTGGCATGGTGTATAAAGATTAACTGTTAGTGAAGTAACAAGTAGTGTATATATACATTCTGTTGAATTTGGCACAAAACTGAATACACTTAGTGTTAAAATACTCTAGGAAAGACCTCGTATAACGTGCTTTATGGAAAGTGTTGTTGTAAAATGTGAGAGTTATGGGTGAAGGGGGGGGGGGTCTGCAGTAAAGAACATATGAATAGATTACCAGCGTAACACAAGGATATTTAACAAAGCTTGTATCTTCTAGAAAATGAGATTTACACCATCTTCAGTGACGTCGGTGTTCTAATCAACCATGGAGGTTAAATGTGTGATATTTTCCGTGGACACGACGTGTATTCATATTGTTACTGCGTTGTATACTTATAGACATCCATATCTATCTGCCTTCTGCTCAAACGTTTTCAAGGATAACAAAATTCAAAACATATGTCAAACCTCAAATTATCGACTCTTTTTCATACTCATTATTAGTGGGGGTCCATATATTGAATAATTTAATGTTTTATCTTGTTACAACATTCAATAGTTAAAACTGACTATCTGGACTTTGTTGGGCTTGAAGCCGAATAACGGAATCGACTGTCACTCTTATAATGAGTCAACAGCTGAACTGAGGAGCGTGTTCAGCAGTAAAGTGATGCAATTCTTAGACCTATCGATCCGCAGCCTGGCACACTAACCACTATGACACTCTAGTCACAATTATATCATTAACATTTTAAGTAAAAACCTGAAAAATCAACAAACTTTCCTTTAAGCTTCTATGGCAAAAGTGGGGTTATAGGGTAACACATTCAGATGTATTTGTTAAATAATTATAAATCACTCTGATGAGACCTATAATATAACACCTCTGTCTAGTATAAAGTAATTCTATAACTATAAATTCGTTATTTTACAATTATAACTATAAAAGTCGTATGTGTATTTCCACGTATAAAGTCTCCATAAATACAGTACATGCAGATTGTTTGAAACCGAGTAAGAGCAGTAATTAACGTCTAGTATGTGGTGAAGGTAAAGGATAAAAACAGGAGAAGTGACGTAATTTCTGATGTAATTGTTATAAAATCATTATTATTATATCTTATAAAATAATGTTTTAAAGACAAACCCTGAGGCTTCAAGTGAACAAATGTTTCTATTATTTTGTCATGTCTAACTAACACGGCTTATATTTTTAGCATTACTAAAAATTGCTGTTTTCATCCTGAAATGCAAAAGTTTCATAACGCTTCTCACCTGGCATGAAAATGTCTTTATTGTATCTTAGTTCAGTATACATAGAGAGGAACAATACGTGGAATGTTCGGACAAATACAGATAAGATAGTTAAAACTACAGAATATAGAGTATTCCGAAACATAGATGTAGTAATAGATTTTGTTTTGTGAAAGAAATTTGAAAAAGTGGTCAGTTGTTAAATTATAATCAAGAACAATCGCTATATAGAATTTAACTTTGGGATGCTCCAACAAGTTCATCATATATGAGACTGTATTGTAGCATACGAAGATTTTATCATTTCAATCTTCACAACAATAACTTTGTAATCTTTGATTTTTTTTTAACTTACTTTACTTTGATGTTATGGTTGCACTGTAAAAGTTACCAAAAATCCCACAGTTTAGTCATACGACAGAAACCTAAGAGCTGACGGAGGGTGTTGTTGACTAGCTACTTACCCTCTAGTTTATCAGTTAAAATATATGGACAGTTTTACACAGATAACTCTTTTTCTTGCTTTGTGCGAAGATCCTAAACATAACAAACTTTCGTCATAATTGTAAACATCACAAGTCGATTACTTTTCCACCACGTTTCTTAAGAACAGTGAGTACATCACTACTTGTAGTAACGTTAAATAGAGCAACAAATATTAGGACATATAGACTATAAAAGACCATTGTGTATCGCTAATTATTGTTTCTTCAGGGTTGAACTATTTAATCTTCGCTATGAATTTTCATAGGCTTATGGATTATACGTGTATTTATCCCAAAATACCTATGATGTATGAATTCTTCAATTTATATTACTCTAATTTGAAAATACTGTTAGATATTTTCAATGTTATTTTCCCTTTATAACACTGACTTTCGACTGGGAAGAATTTCAATAGATTACTGGATGAGTGACCGGTAGAAATGTGTGTCAAACGTTTACAGTCAGTGTTGTTATTACACCTATAATTTTCTAACATTCTCTATACAAAGTATAAGTGTAAGATTCATAGTGTTTTAGAAGAAGTAATTTCTAAGGTAATTACACCACAAACTGTATAAACAAGCGAAAGGTGGTTCTTGGTACTCATACATTGTAGTAGATTTCGTAATTGTCAGTGGATGCATGTATATAAACAGCTGACTGTAAGTGTCCTCTGTGAATTTCCAAAACTGCATCATGTTGTTCATTTTACTGTGTTATCCAGGTACGTATATATCTTCCTTGCTTCTTAGAGTCTACAGACTTACAATGAATTTAAAAAAATACATGCAACAACTTGGAACTTTTTTAAGCACACATAGTTATAAAAAATAGTGAAGTATAACTTGGCCTTTATACATCGTTCGTGTTTTTAGGTTTAAATAAGTTGTTTAAAAGCGATAGAAACGGAAGTATATAAAAAAAAAGTGCGTTTTGGAGTGAGAAAACTGTTGTATATTTTTTGTATATAACACATGCTTAGAGCGGAAGCATTATTCTTAGATAAATGCTTATATCATCTTTTAATGGTTAATAATATAGACGTAGAGTACTTTATAACATTGTCACATGTTAAGCTTTGCCAAATGTTAAAAAATTTACTTAAGAAGCACATAAAACACCAGTAGTTTGCTGCTTGTATTCACACAGCTTTAAAATGCACGCAACAAGAAAATTATTTTGCCATCCAAGTTTTGTTTCCTACAATCTCAAGCTACAAGATGCTATAAAACCCATTCCAAAAATTGCACACTGGCCGCCTATTATAAACAAAAGTGCAGTAACTACCTATCCGGAGATATCTAATTGTGTTCGATGATTACTTTTATATAGTTCTCCTGAACAAAAGAGAGTGACCAATGAAAATCGATTTTGGATAGCAAGTGTGCAATATTAATTAGTTTGACTTCCGACAAGAGTGAGAAAGGTATCAGAAATATATAGAAAGTGGAACCAGGAATAAAAACTGGAAACTTGAGAAGTTGGATAACATAGAACAACATTGCAGTAAACCGTATGTTAGCAATGTTAAGGAAGCAAATTAGAGAAAGTTTTAACAGGCAAAAAGTAAATTTCGTATTGAACATTTTTAATGTGTAGATGATGCCAATAACACATGTATATATTTTTTAATTATGATAATTTGAACTATGTAAACAAGTAACTAAAAAAATATCATTCTTGAAGAAATTCGTTTAGAAGTCTGAAAGAAAGGGATTGTTTGATTACATCATCTTTCTTCACGTAATATACAATGCTTATGAATAGTTAGTGATAGGTTTAAGGACTAATATTTAGGATTATATATATATATAGTGGAATGGTATATAAAACTGATTGTTAGTGGAGTAACAAGTAGTGTATATACACTGTTGAATCTGGAGCAGAACTGAATACACTTAGTGTTAAAATACTGTAGGAGAGTTTGTGAAACTAAAAGTGAGTTTTTAAGCACTGCATACGAAATCCTCTAGCGTTGAACAACTTCTATCATAGAAGGTTATATTATTTTAATAAGCAAATAAACAATTCATGTTACAACCACAGCTGATATAAAGTTGCACTAGCTCGAGCTGTTTGAGAACTACATTTTGACAACGTTTGGTGTTCGTAGGTAGTGTATGTCACAGAAAATAGATGGGTTTTGACAAGTGTATGTAACAGCTGTTTCTGACAAAAGATATCCAGATCTGAAGCCATAAAGAAGTATTCAAGGCGGGAATTTAGAATTCCAAGACAGGGATATATCTTGTATGTAATGACATTGGAAAATAAAGAAATATGGATCAATTCGGGGTCAGATTATTTCCACGTATTGAATTAACCCAAAAAATAAGTGTAATACAGATCACATCGACTTTTCAAATACATTTTTCTAAACTATATATGCACCACATTACTTGTGGGACCATATCGTTTTTGTTGAAAGTGTCCCTAATAAAGCATTAATACCAAAACAATGTAAATAAATCTACCATCAGTATTGCAGTTAGTCCTATTAATTAATACTTGAATCCTCTATGTCTTTTATATTAAATATCAATTATTTCTCTAATGTTTCTTTTGATCAGTTCACTCCATTCAGTGTTGTTGCAATGTAAAACATCAAATTACACAATATATGGACCACACTGGTAAAGAAAAGTACAAAAACAAGCCTGTAGTTTGAGATTTGACTTATGTTTTAAATTTTGTTATCATTGAAAGTATTTGAACAGAAGACAGATAGTTATGGATGTATAAGTTTATATAACTCAGTAACGATTTAAATATACGTCGTTTCTATGGAAAATATCGTCTTCCATTTTAATATAAGCACATCGAAGGCACTTATGGTGTAAGTTTCCTTCTTTTCTTGAATATATCAACTTTGCTAAAAATCCTTATATTACACTGGTAATCTGTTCTTGTATTTATTAACTTAGCATGAATACTCGTTTCATTCTCCAATTGGTTGGGGTATGCGACGGTTGAACTAATATGTCGTGGAAGTAACTTATGTGCAACTTGTGGTTTGTGTCGCTTTTACAAACAGATATCCTTGTTGATTTTGTCTCTTACTGTTGCTTGGGTCAAGAAAATGGCTTCTGCCACTGACCTTTTTCTACGTGACCTTTCACCTGTTACAGGACGCCGACCTTCGCATGACACGGGTAGAGTACAAATTGTTCGTATTACTTTCTGGGTGGTCAAAGTGTCAGTTTCTATCTATCATTTCAGTATTCCTTGCATCAGCGGCTGAGTGGAGTTATAGTGGCCTAACAGGTAAGCGTAAATAGCTTCCTCTGTTATTTTCCTATGCAAATTTTTATCACTATAGATGAAAAAAAGCATTTAATACGATTTATTTATCGTTTTTAATACTTCTACTCGTGAATTGAAAAACTTCTATATTTGAGACAACCTTTCTAATCGAATTGAAGTTGTTTCGAAAATCAAATGAATTTATCTAATGGGTTACTATGACATTACATTATACTACGAGTACTGGATATATCAGTCCTAATACAATGATGATTAGATCTGGCTACACTAGATGATGCACTGCTAAATATATTCGAAACAAATTTATCAATTTGATCAAAAATACCCTATTGTCATAGTTGTTATGATCTTAACACATTGAAATAATTAATCCGATTTATTGTTTTAAAAAAATCGATCTTATGTAAAAAGACATTATTGCGTAGCCTATTAAATAGACTGATTTGTTTATCGACTTTATTGAGAGGATCAGATTATAAAACTATGGAGTGAACAACAAGTGTAAAATAAAAGACATTCGCATTTTCACTGAAAGTCTGCTAATAACAATAAGTGATTTTTATGGCGAAGGATTCACGTATTTAGAACTAGAATTTTCGGCCTTTTTATTCCATTTTAATTTTTAAATAGTTCTAAGTATGCTATGTTTTCTCAGTTTGGAATGCCTTCGATATAAATACTACTGAAAATCCTGTTTAACCGCCATTACGTGCATCTTTAACTATGTAATATTTTTTTCTGTTAGTAAGAAAATAATCGCTTTCCAAATATAATTTCTGCAGGCCCGTCTTTCTGGCCCAAGCTGTTTCGTCAGTGTCGTCGAGGTACCCAGTCACCTATTGATCTAACTCGGCGACACCTGAAACTAAATGGCATCAACTTCGTGGATTATAATTTAACATTGAATTCCATGATATTGAAAAATGATGGGAAAACTGGTATGTTACATTATGTATTTTATACTTTATCTAACTCATCTATAAAGACGTAAACGAGAGACATGATACGTAACAGCATTTTGGAAGTGATTTGCATAAAATCGTTAAATTGTATGGATGTTATGTTTGCTGGTAGTAGAAAGTTGCATACTAAACTTTCACTGTTTAGTTGACACCAAATAAGATGCAAAGAACGAAAAACAATCTAGCTTTAAGCGGTGTTTTGGAAAAGCTAGAAATTACTAGATATGAAAATTATTAACAGTGTAATGCAAACACCCTAAAAATACTCACTACAGTAAATACTAACAAATTTACGTTTCGTAAATTCCATTTCGCAAAAGAGAAACATTTGAACACACTTTGAAGTTAATGCTTTTCTATTTCATATTTTACTGCTGAAATTAAGATTGAAATGTTTCGCATATTTCTTTCCCTTGTAAAAATGGAACTTTCTAATTATCTTAAAGTATTAATCACACATTTTATATAATGATAAACATTAAATAAAGTAATAGAAGATACAAAATTCACAAATCCATCGCCTTGCATTATAATCAGTTCAAACGATATATTTAACAAACACGTGGCTGTTTAGATTGCTTTATAGGTAGATTTAATACAATTGATAACTCATGCTCTTATAAATATATGCTTTAGTGAAAGTGACCTTCAACAGCACTGGTATTCCGATGATATATGACAAGAAGCTAAAAGCAGAGTACCTTTTACATTCCTTTCATTTTCACTGGGGGAAAGATGACACTCTTGGATCCGAACACACAGTTGAACAAAATGTCTATCCCATAGAAGTAAGTTTGTTTAGAATGATATTATGAAGAAACACGCCATAATATTTATAAGGTTTTAACTTTCTATTTTTGTAAAAGTTTAAGACTATTTGAAGTATTTCCCAATATTGCTTTCAAAAATAAATATATTTATTGATTTAACTACTACAAGGTGAAAAATTGTTTTCGATTTGTCTGATACTGATTTGACTGCTACAGATAAAATATTTTATTCATTTAGTGACTATAAAGTTTATTGTTGATATGCAGCTACATATAAAAAGTTTTATTGATTTGACTGCTACAGGTAAACATTTTACTAATTTATTTGCTATATATAAAACTCTTGGATTTCTTTGCTGCAAAGCAATAAGTAAAGTGTTAAGAACTTCAGAAGAAAAGAAACGGAATAGTTCTTAGAAGTTAGAGATTGAGTTGTTTAACTGTTGGTTAATATTATATTCTCTTAAAGAACCTTACATGTTGATTCATGTGAAAATGACTATAGTACAATACATCCATACTTATAACTAATATCGTTTTACTCTGGCTTGCTTGTAGCTCCACCTAGTTCACTACAATTCCAAATATTCCGACATCACGGAAGCTTTACCTCGGAAGGATGGCATAGCTGTTGTCGGTGTGCTTTTTAAGGTAGTGCTTATCTAATGTTGTGTTCAATATTTATAATAAAAACATTTCACTTTTAAAATATAAATTCACCTATTGTTATGTTTCAAAAATACAGTGAAAACTTCTGAGTTCATAAGTTAAAAGAAATGAATGAAAAAAAAAATGAACAGTTATATTTTATGCATTTATGATAATAACCTGAAATTAAATATGACTCAATAAAAATATTATTTTGATTTAAAACTTAACAAGAATACCTAATGAAGACTTTTTATATTAAAAATTCTCTAACTAATTAGAAAAAAATACACGTTGTTTCTTAACTTTTAATCGTTTTTTATCAGTTGAACAAAGATTCGTGTGACGACTTGGATGATATCACCGATTCCTTGGAATCAGTGGAAAATACAGGAGCTAAGGTCGTTATTACTAATCCTGACTTAAAGCTAGAAGATCTACTGCCGTCGGACACTTCGGTTTACTTTCGTTATCAGGGTTCTCTTACCACTCCCATGTGTACTGATGCTACTTGGAATGTTTTCATTGGAAAGACCATCTCACCAAGTCAGGTAAATGTCTGAAAACTACACAAACTACCCAATATGTCATTATGTATTTACCTGTTATGTATTACGTTTTTTGTGATACTCTACTTTTTACCTTTCTGATTAATGAACATAAAATTAGCTTTTAGAATGAACACAGATACGTTTATTGAAATAACACATGTATGTGAACGTTTTGTTGATTTTTTTTTCACAGTTGGAAAAATTCCGGTGTCTCAGAGATGTGTATGGAAACTTCTTGGTGAACAACTTTAGACCAGTTCACCTAAAAAGGAAATAAACCGTTTCCATGAATTTCTTTCAGTTTAAATCTGTTGAAGACAAGTTACTCGTCCTGCCTAATTTTATTGAATAACCAAGTTTATATAATTATGATTTAATTATGATGTGCTTTCAAATAATATTGATAATTTTCCTAGTGTGTGAATATTTTTGATCAAAAGTGTAACACGCTTTGACTGTCTGAAAAAATAAACTTTGCAATTTGAAAATGTTTTGGATGGGAGAATATGATTCGTTTAGTAAAATTTGTTACGTATTACAATTTGTACCGGACGAGCCTCCTATTTATTACATAACGTATTATAATTTTGAATAACCTGAAACTGAGTTAAATGATAATTTAGATTTAGAATGCACACAGTGGCACAGCAGTATGTCTGTGGACATACAATGCTAGAAATCGGGTTTCGATACCCGTGGTGGGCAGAGCACAGATAGCCCATTATGTAGCTTTGTGCTTAATTACAAACAAAATATTTAGAAATTAAATAAATGTCGATATGTATCCAATTTATGACACTTGCCAACAACACTGATGCACACAGTTTTTTAATATAAATATATTTTAATATCCAAAAAATAACACAACTTACAATAACAGTTATTACAAATAATGTACAAAAGATTTACAAACTTAGAAACAATATTTAGTACTCTGTCTGGTCTGGAAGTTCCTTGATATCTTATCGAGGGCCCAAGATGAGCGAATTAATTTTGAGTAGAAATAGATTCAATTCACTTAACAGGGAGCTAGCTCTGTGTTCTTCGTTTTTCGCCGGCCACACGCCGAGTTGTTCACCGATGAAGTTATATAATATTTTCATAAAAATACTAATGTCCGATGTGAATCTGATGAAGTTAAATGGTTTGTAGTATTCGAAATTTATAAACGTTTATGGTCAAATATCTGAAGTTCCCGATTAATAAGCGTTATAACAATCACAGTTATAGCTTCCAAGGTTTATAGCACACCAACTATAGCAAACCAATAATATATACTGTCTTTTGGCGCGTCGCGTTGGTTATATTTATAAGCGTGAGGAGAGTTTCTCGAAATTTCAGCTTACGCAACAATATAAACGATACACCAGTGTTTACGTAGACACATATATTGTTGATTCTTACACTCGAGAATTTTCTACAATTTTAGTGAAGAGGCGGAAATTTCGTAACACAGATTTAACAGTATAAGTTATATACATTTCTAAATATAAATTTAACATAAACAAATATCGATATTGAAATAGATATACCATAGTAAATCCGTCAGACCTCCCTTCTTAGAGAATTAAAAATTGCCGTTAGACAATTTTTAACTAAGATATTATATATACACATTAACAACAATACATTAAATATAATACATTATCAAAAGATTATACAACTTCAATAATCATGACAGTATATAACACAATCAATACAAATAATCTTATACGTAACATAATAGATTCAATAAACGCCGTTTCGTTTATCGCTAGCAAAAACAAAAGAAAAAATATCTAAGAAACTTCAATAGTCATGTGATGTTCGTTGTAACGAGGGTTAAACATTTTCTATATTAGTTTATTGTTTTCTTTTATTGGCTAACTTTTTAAATTATTGAGGTTTTAAAATAGCTTTTCTTAATGCACAATGAAAAAGAGCCAATAAGTTTTACACAACTAGCTGAGAGGTAAACCCAGTAGGGCATTATCAGCAAAACGTATCTTCAAGTTCAGTGTTATATTGTTTAAATCATTGTGTGTTTGTATATATAACAATAGATGTTAAATAATTTTTAGATCATTCCTTAAAAGTAAGGTAGGGTTAGAAATCATCGTTATTTTTCTTTGTTTTTCTTTTTGTTTGTTTCCCTTTCTTTATTTGTGTATAGGATTAATAACTACTTAAATCTACCAATTAAACTTTAATGATGTCAGCAAATGAGATATCCAGGATTTTCTGATTTCTGTGTTATGTTGTTTTATTAGTTAGGTTGATGTAGAGGGATACTTTTATCTTTCCTTATCTCGTGTGTAGTTTATACCCCATTATATTTCTATCATTCCAATTTATTGTATGGTATTCTTCTCTAGCATAATGAGATATTACAGATAGATCGGGAGCACAAAGTTTTATATATCGTACTATTCGCCTGAATTCTAACTGTTGATATGTTTGTTTTTTATTTCTCCAATGTAGTGGGGTTCATATTCACAAGAGATGTTGTAAATGATGCTTTACTGTCCATGTGGCTTGATATCTACTAACTACGATGGTATCTCGTTGCGTCTTGTGAAAACTGTTCTGAAGTTATGCTGTTTAATCTCTTTGTGACGTTAAGAGGAGACAATAATAACCAACAAGATAAAATATACCACGGGGTGTTAAAACGGGAATCCGTGGACCTATGGAATTGTGATAATTTCAAATCATGTATATATACATTAACAGCTGTATTAACTATCCAATATATTAAAATCTCTGCAAATTATATAGTTAGTACAATACAATTTGGAGTTTATTCTCTAGCGTTGAAAATAAGATAATTAATATACTATCATAAACAATATTAACTAGGTGAATGACTGGAAACTTATGATGATATTAAATGGGAGTGAACCGTCAGTTGGATATTCCAACCCTAATGGTATCGATATTCTTGTCCATAACTCTAACATTTTATCGAAAAATTGGGATAGCTCAGGAAATGTTGGGTATGTCTGAAGCAATGCAATAAATTTACTTTTCGAATTAACAGAATAAATATTTCATGTTATTTTTAGTTGGTCCAGTTTAAGATTATTTCTAGCACATACTGCTCATATTACCTTATACAACTTTATATCACTGATTCATAGAACTTAATGTCTATCATATGATTATATTTTGAAGGAAGATTAAAAGACTTGCAAATTATTATATTGAAGATAATTATATAATTGGGTAATATTTATATTTTTGGGTGTATGAGAAAAAGCTTAAACTACTAAACAAAAGCCTCCCATAACGCATTCAGACATAGAAGCTTTCCATATAGCCATGATGACAAGACTGCTCTTTAGTAGTAAACAGAAACTTTCCATAACACCCCCGAAGTAAGATACTAATAATCCTAATTAGTAAACAGGAGCTATCCATAATGCCGTCAGGATAAAACATTACTAAGTTCTCCTAACTAACAGACGCTTCCAATAACGCCGTTAGAATAAAACATTACTAAGTTCTCCTAACTAACAGATGCTTCCAATAACGCCGTTAGAATAAGAGACTGTTAATCTAAGCTAATAAATCGAAGCTTTCCATAACATTGTCAGAATATGACACTGTTCTTCTAGTAATGTCAGAGTGAATTCAAAGTTCTCTATTAAAAATGTACACAAATCATTGAACAATAATGAATAAAACAAACTACACCCTACCAGAACTACCTTAAAACAAACTACATCCTACCAGAACTACCTTAAAACAAACTACACCCTACCAGAACTACCTTAAAACAAACTACATCCTACCAGATCTACCTTAAAACAAAATACATCCTACCAGAACTACCTTAAAACAAACTACATCCTACCAGAACTACCTTAAAACAAACTACATCCTACCAGAACTACCTTAAAACAAACGACATCCTACCAGATCTATCTTAAAACAAACTACATCCTACCAGAACCACCTTAAAACAAACTAAAGGTAGTTCTGGTAGGATGTAGTTTGTTTTAAGGTAGTTCTGGTAGGGTGTAGTTTGTTTTAAGGTAGTTCTGGTAGGATGCCTACCAGAACTACCTTAAAACAAACTACATCCTACCTGATCTATCTTAAAACAAACTACATCCTACCAGATCTACCTTAAAACAAACTACATCCTACCAGATCTACCTTCAAACAAACTACATCCTACCAGAACTACCTTAAAACAAACTACACCCTACCAGAACTACCTTAAAACAAACTACATCCTACCAGATCTACCTTAACGAACTTTACAAATACTATCATAGAATATCTAATATAAAATTGTATAATATTAAACTGAAAAGTTCTAAATCAGCTACCTTCCTTGATATCACGTGGAGAGTTTAGAGCAATAAAATTTTTATACTTCAATTGGAAGAGCATCTTATGGACTTATGGGCTCAATGGTCTAGCCCAGACCGGGGTTCATGTACAGGTATCCTTAATTTTTAACAGTGGAATTAGAGGAAAGCATCATTCAGTAGCACTTGCCCCAACAAGGACTTTGTTGGGCCTTAAGCCGAATAACGGGATCGAGTGTAACTGTTATAATGCACCTACATGAACTGTGGAGTGTGCTCAGGAGCAAAAAGATGCAATTCCTAGACCTATCGATCTGAAGCCCGGCACCTTAACAACTATGCCATACCCGGCACAATTATATCACTTCCTTTTGAAATAAAAACCTGAAAAGTCAACAAACTTTCTTTTAAGCCTATATAGTTGCATGATTTTTGTATTCCCTTACTTTTGTGTGTATACAAACTATTGACTTTCGATTAGTGAATTATTTTAAATGACCTACTTAGCTGTTTCATCTTTATGTTAGCAAGTAAATAAAATCGCACGAATGTGGTTGAAACTAGGTTTTATGCACTATAAAAATACGAACACACTAATTAATCCATTCGTGCTTTTCCGAATTATCCGAAAACAGTACTATATTGTTATCCTTAATTACCTAGCAGACACTATTTTTCTACTAAAACCATTGATTCTTATGAAGTATTTACGGTATACAAATACTAGTTATATTAAATATGTGAAGGTTTTCCAAAAGTACATCTTTATTTTATAACGTATTTTCGGTATAGTATGGAGAAAACAATAGAGCAAAAACGTTACAAGACAGCGTGGGCAGTAACTAGCGAACAGGAAATATTTGATAGGGAAGATGTAGGCTTGAGGTCATAGCAGAAGAAAGCTTAAAGCAACATTCCAGTCTTTATCTCAGCGTAAGAATTCACAGCTCGCACACGTGGTATGTTGAGAAAACCCCAATAGTTTAATAAAATGCAGGACGAAATGAGCCAGTGTAAAAAAAAGAAGCAGTTAATGGAACGGTGGTGAAAGACAAGGGTGAGATACTGCTTGTGAAGAGTCCGTGTTACGGGGTTTGTCTATATACACCATAATTTAATTGCATTGGATGATTTCTCCAATGATATTAGATAAAGGACAAAAATAAGTTCTGTAAGGACCAATAACAAAGTAGACTTTGGATAAAGTCTATTGGAATAGTCCATTTGTTTCTGGAATATCCCACTTGCACCAATCGAGTTAAAAGAACTACTTTTGAAAGTAGATCTGCTAAACTTCTTGAACATTTGGAAAAATACTAAAAGTTGTGTATACAATTCCATGTTTCCGACTCTAAACGGCACTTCTCTGCACCTATCAAGTTGCTCCGAGGTCACGATCCAACTCCAGAAGAAGATGGCAGTAATCCAGAATGTACAAGAAGTTCGCCGCACAAACTTCTTTCAGAGGAAGGTTCGCGAGAAACATTAATATAAGCTCCACGAATTATGGAACAAAATTAGAAGTGATTTTAACAGTTTGGATTAAAAAATGGAGTGTCCATAGTGTGAACAAGGTTACACCAATAACTGTAATTCAAATAGTGAGGATAGAGTGTGTGTGTCGAGGGTATATCATTTCTGCAGTATGTTCGGTTGTTAGTCTGTTTACAAGAAGAATTAGTAACATTCGAGAAATCATTTGATGTTGATACTCGCGATATAAATGACAGCGTTTCTATATCCGATCGTAATCGACAGAAACGTGGTTTAATTAATGGTGGCAAAAGTATCCTAAAATTCTTATCTGGACTCCCAACCACGGACGATTTAACAGAATTAAATAAAAAGGTTGACCAGCAAAGACAAATTTCTAAAGAAATTATCCACTTATTAGGAGAACAGACGACTATTATGAATTATTTGAATCAAACAATTGAATTCCATGATCAGGAAATAAAAAAGTTATCGACTACACTAGTGAATATCGATAACACATTAATATAAGCTAGGTTAGAACAAATTGAAATTCATCAGGCAAGCGCTGAAATGGTCGTCTTTAATGCAAGAGTTCAAAACAATCTACAGCAAGTAGCTTTTACTATGGGAAGTAGTAGAACAGAGTTAGCTAAATTAGTACAGCCATTGTATGTAGCTGCAAATAGGAAGTTAAGCTCTTACGTTTTACCCCCTAGTAAACTAGAACGAGTACCAGACGAGATTTAAAGAAGATTACCCCCACATTTACAGCCTGTAATCCCCACACATAGTGATCAGATCTAATTGTACATGGGTTGATTTAAAAACAGCTTAAGTAAGAGATACCTAAAGGTAACAGACAGAATGTTTAAACTATATCGAGTAATATCATTACATTAGCATTAATTATAGAAAGTGACAAATCATATATAGCTGTTTCTAATTATCAATACACATATCTAGAACTAGCAGAAGAAGATATGCCAAAACGTACAGAGGGACTCATTAGAGTATGCTGTCCTAATTCTGGAATATATTTGTTACCTATAATAGATTGTAACTATGTGATATTTGCAGGTATGAAAAATAATATTATCGAACTGCATGAGAAAAGAGTGAGTATTCCTAAACCATTTTACTTCTTTAAAATTAAAACACCAGGAACATGGCTATTTAACGTAAGAAGTGAACTAACTTTATCAGTAGTATGTCCAAAATCTAATGTGCATCAATTCGATTATCAGATGGAAGTAATTAAATTAAGAGATAGTGAATATTTAAAATTAGCTAGGAGTTATTCAGCACATGGGTAAGGAATAACGTTACCCTCCAGTTTTAGAAGTAAAACTAATTATGCTGCTGTACAATTACACTGATTTACAAGAATTATTAATTGAAGAAGAATAATAATTAATCAGAGGAATAGAAGCGAATTCCGAATTTAATGAATTAAAAAGCATATTAGCATAAACACAACATTTGCCCTCTAAACGATCAGGATTAACAATTTCAACAGTGCATAGAACACTTGCGATCTACATCAGAGAAAAAAAGAGGTTAAAAAGATGGAAGTTAACGAATTCAGTACTTATAACACTCTGCCTATTGGTACTCCTGATAAGCATACTGTTTTACAAAGCACGAAATGAATTTGCTTGGATTAACATGTTAACATTTTTGGATTATCAAAATAAGAGCTGGATAAGTTAATAAAGATTTGTCATATTCTGAAACTACTGAGTTAGTAGAACCAACTGACTTCGAATTGCAAAATTAAATAGGTCCCAAATAATTATGTAGATTGATGACAAAATTGAAACAGGTAAAAAGAAATCGAAGAGCTTAGTAGATCATAAACATAAAAATATTAGTAATCAAATTAATAGGATTAGCTTGATTTATCATCGACAACAAGGAACGAGGATGTTAAAATACTGAAGAAACCGAGAACGAGACTATTCGCTAATTTGTGAAGAAGAGACAGTGAAATATCTGAGATGATATTCCGACGCAAAACGTCAACTTCGTGAAAACGATCTACATAATACAAATCCGACGAGGTTTGATACAAAGGAAGGAGGAAACAATGTGAAACGGAAGTGTATTGAGATATGGTAGTGTTAATTGTGTGTCAACATAACTTAACGAAGTGTGTTGTGTGTTAAACTTAACACGAGCAGAATACCAAGGGGAAGAAGTGCTATTGTAGAACCAGACACCATTGAGAAAACGCCCCACATTTCCAAACTTTCAAAATGAGTTTTAAAATCTAACACCCTAATTTTTTATTATTTGCTTTTTTGTAATATTAAATTGTGGTAATAAGGACATAAATAACCAATGCTTAATCAATATATAACTGATATACGTTATTATGTTAAGTATCACTTTTATTTTATTCTGTACTTGATTTTGATATTATTTGATTATATGTATAATCATGTATTATTTTCAACTGTATCAATATATATTATTTGTTCTTGACTTTTCACGGGTTTTTAGTATAAAAAGTAAGGGAAAATATAGCTAATATACTGTATGTTTTTATGTAGGAACTTTGATTGATTTTCTTACCAGTATTTGATATGATGTTATTTGAAGAAGTTATATAAATAAAGTGATATGCATTGAGAAGTAATCTTATGTAAAAGATATCATAATGGAATAATCAGAGTTTGGGTAATTCAGGGTAAAGCGTTATTAAACGCCTAGACAATCAAAGAGATTGTGTGATGAAATTTTTGTAGGAGATAAAACTTTCCTAAAGAGGGAGGAGTGAAGGATTTGTGGACTACTGTATGTTGTACGTTCATGTAACTACTTTGCAGGGTGTGAATGGATGTTCACCAAATTTGGTATGGAAGTTCATTAGGTCCATACAGGAGTACATACATATTTTCAATTTAGAATTTTGCGTTTTGCGGTTTTTTTTACCATTACTTCACCTCCTGTAGATGGATCTTCACCAAAATTTGGCGTTAAGGTTTATTGGGTCTATGCTGGGATACATGCAAACTTGCGGTTTCACATATTGTGTTTTGCAGTTTTATGGGCGTTTTTTTACAATTACATATAAGGGAAGCAACTTTTCATGTTCTTATATAACCTTTCACTAATCATTAATGTACATAACTTCCATCCATGAGATAGGTACTCCAGCTAGTATTAAATGTGTGAAGGTTTTCAACAAGTACATCTATATTTTATAACGTATGGAGAAAACAGCAGAGAAAAAAGTTACAAGATACTGTTGGTAGTAACTAGCGAACGAAATACTTGATAAGGAAGTTGTAGGCTTGAGGTCATAGCAGGAAAAAGCTAAAAGCAACATTCCAGTCTTAACCCCAGGGCAAGAATTCACAGCTTGCAGATGAGATATGTTGAGAAAATTCCAGTAGTCAGATAAAACTCACGATGAAATGGGCCAATGTAAGAGACAAAAGCAGTTAATGGAATGACACTGAAAGACAATGGTGAAAGTCCACGCTAGAGGGTTTGGCTCTGTACACCCTAATTTAATTGTCTTGGATGATTTCGCCAAAGATATTAGATAAGGGACAGAAATAAGTTCTGTAAGGACCAAAAACAATGCTAGTTTTGGTTATAGTCTGATGGAATAGTCCACTTGTTGGTGGAAGATCCCATTTGCACAAATCGAGTTAAAAGAACTACTTTTAAAAGTAGATTTGCTAAACTTCTTAACAATCGAAAAACACTAAAAACTGTGTATATAATTCCGTGTTTCTGTCTTTAAATGGCACCTATCAAGTTGCTTCGAGAACATGATCCAACTCCAGAAGGAGATGGCAGTAATACAAAATCTACAAGAAATTAGCTGCACAAATTCCTTGTAACTATGCTATTTGTGATGTAGTCTAACACTTATTCACTTAATGTTAATAATGTATAATGTAAAAAGAGAGAAAAGTTAAGAACGTTAATTGTACTAAAGAAATGTGTAGATTTGAAAATGTTTAAAGTGGAATTATACAGATTATGACCAAGAAAATTTCTCGTGTTAGCTTAATTGATAACTTAACTAATGTTGTATCTTATTAACAAATACCTAGTCTTTCAAAATGAAGAACTCAATGATTTGGTAGTAGTGTCATCACAAAACAACATTGAGAGTTTCGATATAAATGAATCATTCAACAGTGTATACATACAGAAGTTATTTGATTTGTATTCAATTGTCTCTGTGTGAGTTCTTTATTCCCCACATAAACTTCCTTGCGTTTGTGACTTGTGTACTCCTTTCGCGACATCACACAAATGAATTACTTGGTAACGAGTTTAAAGTCGAACCCAACGACTAAGCTCACGGGCTGTCCACACGGCCATTACTTACCTGTCAACAATGCTTTATGGCGTAATGTCACGTCTCAGATCTTCAATCATGCCATATATAAAAAATGTCTTAAATTGAGTAACAGCAGTAAGTAGCACTGTTTAACGTGTGGTGAAGGTAAGGGGTAAAAATAGTAGAAAGGTGGGCTGTTGTATTCTGTATTATGTTGGTGTTAGATCTTACATTTGTTATATATTTCTTATAAAATCGTTATTATTATTATATTGTTATGACAGCGGAAGTCACGCGACGCTGGGAGCATGCTCGCTGGAATTTCTCGAAGGATCATGAATTTTCCTGGCAACTCTAGTTTGTTCGAGGCGCCCTCTTTCTTAGTATTAAAGCCTGGCGAGAAAAACCAGCGCGATAGAAGAGATAGATCGAAGAGAGAGATATGTAGATAGATTGAAGAGATAAATAATTGAGTGAAGCGAACAGTAGGCACCGTAAGTAAAGTGTATGAATCACTGTGATTTATAGCATGTGTTATAAAGGTTGTTGAGTTTAAAGTGCTTAAAGTGAGTGTGGAAATTCTGTGTACTAAAAAGTTGTATCAAGAAAGAATAAACTAGTTTTGATTAAGAAAGGACTTGTATCGCTGAAGTTCCTCGGAAAGAATTTATACCGGAAATTAACAAACGAGCAGATACGTAACAATATCTTATAAAATACTGTTTTATAGATAAATTCTGAGCCTTCAAGTGAATAAATATTTCTTTTTGTTTTATTTGTTTTGAAGTTAAGCACAAAGCTACACAATGGGCTAACTGTGCTCTGCCCACCACGGGTATCGAAACCCGGTTTCTAGCATTGTAAGTCCGTAGACATACCGTTGTGCCACTGGGGGGGGGTAGCGATCTGCATAAAGTAAACATAAGAATAGATTACCAGCGATTCATAAGGATATTTAGCAAAATTTATATTTTCTAGAAAAGAAGGAAACTTACACCACAAGTGCCTTCGATGTGATACTTAAAATAGAAGACGTTATTTTCCATGGAAACGACGTGTATTCAAATTATTAGTGAGTTATATACACTTACTTACATCCACAATACCTGCCTTCTGTTCAAATATTTTCAATGATAACAAAATTACCAACTTGATTTTGTACTTTTCTTTGATGCCCAAAGTTTCTGAGATAAGGTATAAAATTTGTTTGGTTGTTAAATGAAATTGAAAAAAAAAAACATTTGGGATTAAAATAAAAAAGAGGAATACACAGCATAAATCTCGGATAGATTTTGATATTCTAGAGTTAATAAGAGAAAAAGATAAATTATGGCATAAGTATTAATGTCAGAAGAATCAAACAAATGAAGCAGTTTACAAAGCAAAGAGAAATTTTGGAACATATTTTATAAGAAAGGCAAAAAAGAATTATTATAAGTTAACATTTTCTGGCATTCAGGATAAAATGAAAGAAACTTGGAAATACATTAATGAATTAGTGAATAATCATTTTAGTGATGAATCACTTGAAGAAAAAATAAAGTGAAATTTTATCAGTACAAATATAAGTACTACAGATTGAGCAAATAATTTTAATATAGAGTTTGTAAATATGATAAATACTCTAAAAAGTAATCATAATAATGAAAATAATAATATCTATGTCACAAATAGAAGTAATTATCTTCAGAGTATAATCTCTCAGACTAATACAATTTATTTCCCTCTAATAGCAGAAGAAGAAGTTATTAATATAGTAAATTTAATGGATATTAACAAAGGACCAGAAATTAATGACATGCAATTAAGATACATAAAACCATGTATTAATGTATTAGCAAAGGTTATAACATGCCTAAATTTAATTTATGAAGAAGAGAAAATACCTGATGGACTTAAAATATCAATGATAAAACCTATTTACAAGTCAGGATAAAAAAAAATAATAATAATTATAGACCAATTTCCATTTTACCTGTGATTGAAAAAAATAATGGAAAGGTATGTATACAACAAAATGTTGAATTTTATTGAAAAATAACAATATAAACAAATGTCAATATGGATTTATTAAAAATAAAAATATCACATTACTATTAGAAAACTTTCTAAATTGTGTAAATTTACAGTTTGATAAAATATAAAGGTACTTGTATTATTTCTTGATTTAATAGAGCTTTTGATGCATTAAATCTTAAAATACTGCTGAATAAACTATACATGATGGATATGAGGGGGAAATTACATAACTGGTTCATGAATTATTTGAGTAATAGGGTTGCAATAACAAGAATTGGAGAAATAATGAGTGATCCAATGACTATACCATATGGTGTTCCTCAAGGTTTTATTTTGGGTACACTACTATTTAACTTGTATGTTAATGATATTGTAAATAGAAGTTTAAAGAGTGAAATATATCAATATGCAGATGATACAGCTTTAACTCGTGTTGATGTGGAAGTTGGCAAAGAAATTTTACAAGTTGATTTCAATAAATGAAGGTAAAGGCTTAATATGAATGAAATATACATGAATACTGATAAAACAAAAAGTGTGATAATTCATTCACAATATACAAGTATTATTAACACAAATTTTTCACAAATTCATGATCAAAATGTAATAATAATTATAAACACTTATTTGTAGATAACAAGCAGTATTCTGATTGTAAATGTATGTATATAGAAAATGTCAATATTAATACATACTTAGGGCTAATTATAGATGATGTTTTTAGTTGGTCTAAATATATAAATACAGGGAAACCCCGATTTTACGCGTTTCGTTTTAACGCGAATTTGGATATAACGCGATGGATCATTAAAAAGCTTACTAAAAATAATGTGTTTTAATTTCTACTGTAACAACAACGATTCATTCGCAAAATTCTTTAATTCAGAGGTAATTTACTTGCCAGAAAGGGAACGTGTAAAAAACTAGTCAAAGAGGGTGAAAATAGGTGTTTTAGGATGTTAGGTCAACATTGGGTAAGTTTGAAGAGTGATTTTCTTGAACCCCGATTTAGCGCGACCCTGCTTGTTTCGCGATGACATTTTATAGACCCCAACGATCGCGTTATAACGGGGCTACACTATATATATGATTTGCAACAAATTAAGACCTATTACAGCAAAATTATTTAGGATACAGAACATTTTATCAATTAATATAAAAACCTAACTTATGTATCTTTAGCAGAATCTTTTATATGTTATGGATTGACAATATATGGTTCAACAAGTAATATTCACTTAATATATATATATATATAATTCAATAAAGAATATTTAAGATGATAATCTTAAACAAAATATAAGATACAAAAATATTTAATGCAAATGTTATATTAACAGATGGAATTATAAGAACCCAGTTATTTGATGTAAATGCACTTTATAAATACATAATAATTTTGATTTCCTATTATATTTTAAATAATAAAATACTAAAAAATCATATTCATAATGCTAGAACATTAGAAAAAAATATTATGGAATTCTAAATCACAATAAGAACTATGGAACAAGAGTTAAAGAGTATAAGATACCATAAATAATGAACCATCTCCCCAGGGAGCTATGGAATATAATCACAATTGCAGAGTTAAAAAATTCAAAAGATTGTTTATTAACTGGTGTTCATAAACAAACTGATTAATATTCATTGAATGGTACTTTATTCATATAGGATTAATATTATCATTAATTTTGTTATCTATATAATTCATTATTTGTGATAAAAGAAGAATAGCATACAGGATATTATGTTCAATAAGTTGTTGATTTAAGATATAGGTTATATAAAATTATGATTAAGATAGACTTCTAATACCAATTTCAACTTTTTGTGTTTTGTTTATTTATATTTATTAATATATATATATATATAAATGTAGATATTTTTGGTCACAGTTATTAAGGAGTTTTTCACAAATCAGCTGATTAAGCTTCATGGAAACTTCTTTATTTTCATTTGTATATATATTTTATTGATATGTACATACAGTATGTAACAAAAAGAAGTCTAAAATTAAAAAAAAAATAACTGCCATTACTTACATTTTTAACTAAGTTATATGTTCTTCAGTTAGTAACAAAATAATCTACTCAAATGGTATAATCCCTTTCCAAATACACTATCCTACAAAAAACTCATGGGACACGGGTAGTTTTGAATAAAACATGTCTTTATTCCAAGAAATTAATAGCATGTTGGCCCATCTATGGCCTTAATGGCTGCTTCAAGGTGCCGTGGAAGGCTGTCTATTAATTTCTGGTAGAAAGTTGATAGTACTGTGCTCCACTCCTCTTTTAAAGCAGTAGTAAGCTCCACTACTGAAAAATAGGCCATCTTGGCATTGCCCTAATTCTACATTCCAGTTCATCCCAAAGATGTTCTATCGGGTTCAGGTTAGGGCACAGTGCTGGCCACTGCAATGTTCCGATGTTATTCTCTTCAAACCACGTGTTTACAATCCTTACTTTGTGACATGGAGGGCATCATGTTGGGCAGTGTAAAGGCCGGTATCATAAAACTGCCACAATGTAGGACACACAGAATTGTTCAGAACATCAGTGTTTGACTCAGCATTCATGGATCCATGCACTGCGACCAGTGGACCTAGTCCATACACGAGAAGCACCCCCAGACCATGATACCTCCACCTCCAAACTTCACTGTTGGGACAACACATTCGGGTAATAAGCATTCTCCAGACATCTTCATACCCAAACACGTCCATCAGACTGGAAGAATGTGTAGCGTGACTCGTCGCTCCACGGGACCGATTTTCATTGATCCATGGTCCAGGTTTGGTGTGCCATGCCCCATGCCAATCGACATTTGTTTTTTTTATCAACGGGCTGCAGCTCTTCCGTGAAAATTCATGGCACGCAGCTCTCGACGTGGGGTGAAAAACACTTGTAGTATTGCTTGTGGCTGCTCGCATCTCCAAACACAGATACTCTAGAGTCTGATGGCGAGATGAGGTAACTAGCTTTCTCAAGGTGCGTCGGCGTCTGTCAATCAGTATTTTACGCCTACCTGATTGTTTCTTCGGCTCATTGTCATTTCTTCAACACGTTGGCAACTGTCTACCTGGGAATGTTTAATTGTTGCGAAATAGCACGTACATAGAAAAACTGGTATGTTACATTAATTTTGTTACATTTGGGGTTTAGCAAGGCAGTATATATTTTATACTTTATCTAAATGGTGTGAAAAAGACGTAAACAAAAGACATGATACGAAACAGCATTTGCACATTTTGTTCTATTTAGTTTAGCTATAGTGACATCTTGTGTACCTTAGTTGCTCGCGGAATTTCTGATAAGATTGTCTACCGGTGACATTGTAGGCTTTATCCAATCGCCGCGAAAATTTGTTCCGCACTCTGGAACCGTGGATGTGCTATAGCTTATAAGAGAAATGACCCAAACCAACTATTCGGTCACACAATAGTAGCTCAAGAGCTGGCAGCGAGCACTATTAACTATCTGCATACATTCTAGTCTATCAGTTGAAAATTTTGAACATTTAGCACAAATAGTCCTTGTGAAGTTTTGCTTGAATTTCAAACAAACAAAGAAACAAACGGTATAGCATATTGCCTGTTTATATTTTGCAATAGTGAACAACAAAATGACGTCCTAAAATATATAAACACACAAACACATATATTTTCGTCCAACTAGTTAGGGCATAATGAAGTAACAGTTCCCCGGTGTATCAGCGTTAATTTTACGGATTTGCAAAAATGAAATGAGTGGTTCGATTCCCCATGGTGGAAAGAGCGCAGATAGCTTATTGTGTAGCTTTACGCTAGAAAATCCTAAGATTCGTATCTCCAACCAATGTAACCTTATCGAAAGGCAATCTGAAAGGAAACTTTTGCTTTACACTTAGGAAGTGATTTACATATTATCTTTAAATTGTATGGATGTTTGTTTGTGTCTTAGATGTGTATGATGCTGGTAGTGACTGATACTTACAGTTCCATCGGAAAATTTCACTGCTTAGTTGACATTAAATAACTTACGAAGAACAATTTTGCTTTAAGCCGTGTTTTAGAAAGGCTAGAAATTACTAGATATAAGATTTACTAAGTTTGTTTGTATTGAATTTCGCGCAAAGCTACACGAGGGCTATTTGCGCTAGCCGTCCCTAATTTAGCAGTGTAAGACTAGAGAGAAGGCAGCTACTCATCACCACCCACTACCAACTCTTGGGCTACTCTTTTACCAACGAATAGTGGGATTGCCCGTCACATTATAACGCGACATTATAACATTCGAGCCTGCGACCCTCAGATTGCGACTCTAGCGCCCTAACCTCCAGACCATAAGCTTTAGTAACAGTGTAATGCCAAGCATGCATTTTGGCCCGAAGAAACGCACAAAAGCAAAGAAAAACACATTTAAGTTTTCGTAAGTTTTATTTTATAAAAGAGAAACTTTTGAACAAATTTTGAAGCATATGCCTTTCTATTTCATATTTTACTGCTGAGATTACGATTGAAATTTTTCGTATATTTCTTTCCCTTGTGAAAATGAAACTTTCTAATTATTCATCACATATTTTATAAGATGATAAACATTAAATAAATAAAGCAATAGAAATTACAAAATATTTCACTTTCACAAATATATCGCCTTCTATTATATTCAAATCAAAAGATATATTTAATAAACACGTGACTATTGAAATTGCTTTATAGGTAGATTTAATACAATTGGTAACTCTTGCTCTTATAAATATATGCTTTAGTGAAAGTGACCTTCAACAGCACTGGTACTCCGATGTTACAAGACAAGGAGCTGGGGGAAAGATGACTCTCTTGGATCTGAACACACAGTTGGACAGAATGTCTATCCTTTAGAAGTAAGTTTGCTTCAAAATGATATTATGAAGAAACACGCCATAATATTTATAAGGTTTTAACTTTCTATTTTTGTAAAAGTTTAAGACTATTTGAAGTATTTCCCAATATTGCTTTCAAAAATAAATATATTTATTGATTTAACTACTACAAGGTGAAAATTGTTTTCGATTTGTCTGATACTGATTTGACTGCTGCAAATAAAATATTTTATTCATTTAGTGACTAAAAAGTTTATTGTTCATATGCAGCTACATATAAAAAGTTCTATTGATTTGACTGCTACAGGTAAAGATTTTACTAATTTATTTGCTATATATAAAACTCTTGGATTTCTTTGCTGCAAAGCAATAAGTAAAGTGTTAAGAACTTCAGAAGAAAAGAAACGGAATAGTTTTTAGAAGTTAGAGATTGAGTTGTTTAACTGTTGGTTAATATTATATTCTCTTAAGGAACCTTACACGTTGATTCATGTGAAAGTGACTATAGTACAATACATCCATATTTATAACTAATATCGTTTCACTCTGGCTTGCTTTTAGCTCCACCTAGTTCACTACAATTCCAAATATTCCAACATCACGGAAGCTTTACCTCAGAAGGATGGCATAGCTGTTGTCGGTGTGCTTTTTAAGATAGTATTTATCTAATGTTGTGTTCAATGTTTAGAATAAAAACATTTCACTTTTAAAATATAAATAAACCTACTGTTATGTTTCAAAAATACAGTGAAAACTTCTGAGTTCATAAGTTAAAAGAAATGAATGAAAAAAATATGAACAATTATATTTTATGCATTTCTGATAAGAATCTGAAATTAAATATGACTCAATAAAAATATTATTTTGATTTAAAACTTAACAAGAATACCTAATGAAGACTTTTTATATTAAAAATTCTCTAACTAATTAGAAAAAATACACGTTGTTTCTTAACTTTTAATCGTTTTTTATCAGTTGAACAAAGATTCGTGTGACGACTTGGATGATATCACCGATTCCTTGGAATCAGTGGAAAATACAGGAGCTAAGGTCGTTATTACTAATCCTGACTTAAAGCTAGCAGATCTACTGCCTTCGGACGCTTTGATTTGCTTCCGTTATCAGGGTTCTCTTACCACTCCCATGTGTACTGATGCTACTTGGAATGTTTTCATTGGAAAGACCATCTCACCAAGTCAGGTAAGTGTCTGGAAACTACACAAACTACCCAATATGTCATTATGTATTTACCTGTTATGTATTACGTTTTTTGTGATACTCTACTTTTTACCTTTCTGATTAATGAACACAGATACGTTTATTGAAATAACACATGTATGTGTAAGTTTATTGTATGTATGTGAACTTCTTGTTGATTTTTATTCCACAGTTGGAAGAATTCCGTTGACTCAAGGATGTGAATGGAAACTTCTTGTTGGACAACTTTAGACCCGTTCAACTCAAAAATTCCTAACAAAAGAAAAAATAAATGTTTTAATGCAGGTTCCATACTTAATGTTTATATACTTTAGTTTATATCTGTGGAAAACAAGATAGTCGTCCTTCATAATTTTCTTGGATCAACAAGTTTCTATAATTATGATTTAACTATGATGTACGTCTGGGTGCTTTCGAAGTATTAGGATTCTTTTTATAGTGTGTGAATATCTTTGATCAAAAGTGTACCATGTATTGACTCTCTGAAACAATAAACTTTACAATTTAAAAATGTTTTGGATGGAAGAATATGATTCGTTTAGTAAGATTCAACAGGTTTCTCTTAGCTATTATAAACTGTTTGGAGACGACGTTTCGATCATCGATAGCAAAAAGCAACAAAAATTACATTTTTAAAGAAATTCCAATAGTCATGTGATGTCCGTTCAATATCTGATGAAGATTAAACATTTTTTAATATATGTGTTTATTGTTTCCTTTTATTGGATAACTTTTAAATTATTGAGGCTTTAAAACAGATTTTCTTAGTGCACAATGAAAGACAGACAATAAGTTTTACACAACTAGCTGAGCCATTATCAGCAAAACATATCTTCAAATTCAGTGTTATATTGTTTATTTCATTGTGTGTTTGTATATATAACAATAGACGTTAAACAGTTGTTAGATGATTTCTTAAATGTAAGGTAGGGTTAGAAATCACCGTTATTTTTCTTCGTTTTTCTTTTTGTTTGGTTCCCTTTCCTTATTTGTGTATAGGTTTAATAACTACTTAAACCTACCAATTAAACTTTAATGATGTCAGCAAATGAGATATCCAGGATTTTCTGATTTCTGTGTTATGTTGTTTTATTAGTTAGGTTGATGTAGTGGAATTATTTTATCTTTCTTTATCTCGTGTGTAGTTCATACCCCATTATATTACTATCATTCCAATTTATTGTATAGTATTCTTCTCCAGGATAATGGGATATTACAGTTAGACCGGGAGCACAAAGTTTTATATATCGTACTATTCGTCTGAATTCTAACTGTTGTTATGTTTGTTTTTATTTCTACAATATACTGAGGTTCATATCCACAAGAGATGTTGTAAATGATGTTTCGCTGTCCATGTGGCTTGATGTCTACTAACTACGATCCATTATCTTCTCCAGCATAATGAGATATTACAGATAGACCGAGAGCACAAAGTTTTATATATCGTACTATTCGCCTGAATTCTAACTGTTGTTATGTTTGTTTTTATTTCTACAATATACTGAGGTTCATATCCACAAGAGATGTTGTAAATTATGTTTTGCAGTCCATGTGGCTTGATGTCTACTAACTACGATAGTATTGCGTTGTGGCTTGTGAAAACTGTTCTTTAGGTATGCTGTTTAACCTGAATGTGACTTTAAGAGAACAAAAATAACCAACAAGATAAAATAAACCATGGGATGTTACAACAGAAATTCGTGGGCCCATGGAATTGTGACTATACAGTATAAAGATCCACGGTTATTTCAAATTGGATATATACATTAACAGCTGTATTGACCATCTACATACATTAAATTTGCTGCAAGTTTTATAGTTATTAACGTACAATTTGGAGTGAAATCTCTAGAGTAGAAATTAAGATAATGAATATAATATTATAAACAATATTAACCAGGTGAATGACTGAAAAATTACGATGATAATAGATGGGAGTGAACCGCCAGGAGAATTGGGTTAGGTCAGGAAATTTTGGTTATGTCTGAATGAACGCAATAAATTTACTTTTCGAATTAACAGAGCTGTGATCACATTTCATTTGTCTAAAGGATGCATCTCCAATCATGAAGTCGAATAAATATTGCATGTTATTTTTAGTTGATCCAGTTTAAGATTATCTTGTAGATTATCATGTTGAAGGTAATTACATAACAGGGTAATATTTATGTTTTCGTGTGTATCAGGAAAAGCTTAAACTACTAAACAAAAGCCTTCCATAACGTATTCAGAACAAGACATAGGAGATTTCCATATAGCCATGAGGATAAAACTTCTCTTCTTTATTAATAAACAGAAACCTTTCATTACGCCGCCAAGATATAACGCGGCTAATATCCACTTGTATAGAGGAGCTTTCCATAACGCCCCTAAAGTAAGATACTACTAATCTTCATTAGTAAACAGGAGCTTTTCTTAATGACGTCACGATAAAACACTACTAAGTTCTCCCAACGAACAGATGCTCTCGATATCGCCGCCAGGATAAGACAACGCCAATCTTCATTACTAAACAGGAACTTTTCATAATGTGCCTAGGAAAAGATAATGCTAATCTTCATTAGTAAACAATAACTTTCTATAACGCCCTCAGAATAAGACACTGATTGTATAAGCTAATAAACCGAAGCTTTCCATAGCATTGTCAGGTTCTGACATTGTTCTTCGCTAGTGGAGAGTGCTTGTGATGAGTTCATTTGTAATGCCAGAGTGAACTCAAAATTTTCTGATAAAAATATACACAAATCATTGAACAATAATGAATCAAACAAACTACATCCTACCAGATCTACCTTAACGAACCTTACAAAGACTATCATAGAATACCTAATATAAAATTGTATAATATTAAACTGAATAAATAACCTGCAAAATTTTAAAATAAAGTTCCGTTTATAGGTAAATTCACATGAAAAGTTTTGTTTGTTGTTAAGCTCCAATATACACAATGAAATATCTGTGGTGTGCCTAAAACGGGTATCGAAGCCAGAATTTTAGCGTTTTATTTCCATAGACTTGACGCTGGAGGTCCGCAAACCAGTAGCAAGTCCATCTTACGTTGCGTTTAAGAAGCACCAGTGTTCCCATCTCTTTACTGTAACAAAAACCATATAGTGGAGTTCAGGGAAGATGATGGGAAGACGACGGAGAAGATCTCTCCGGACCACTGTTTTCCAAAATGGAGACAAGTCTTAACAATTGAATTTTAGTCTATCACTTCATAGTAGTTTATAAATTATCCAAGAGATGGCAATAGCTACGCAGCTTTATCTATTATTTCCATAGAACTAAATGCGGAGGATATGTTTTCATACCTGTGTATGTGTATTTGTCAGCACGATTTCTCAAAAACGGCTGAATAGATTTGAACAAAAGTTGGTATACATTTGGAGTATTATCCAACTGATTAGTTTTTGGAAGACCAAGGTCAAAAGTCAAATTCACAACAACGTCAAGAATACCCCAAAAAATCCCTATCCGTTAACGAGGGGGACTGCTTTTTCATACTATTTTTGCTCTATAGCTCAATTGGATTTTGAAAAAACTTGGTGGGCGTATGTAAATTATCATTCCTCATTGCTCTGCTAAAAATGGTCCGTGTCCGTTGATAACAACGGACATACGGAGTCGTTTCGTATTTTTTAGGGCCGAATATGATTAACGCTATGTGCTCTACTGAATGCCTCTCTAGTTATCTAAATGAATTTCAGTGGCTATACCCTACATCGACAATTATTAATAGTACTTAAGCTTAACCCGAACAGAGTTTTCTTTTTTTCTCTCTCTTAATATTTAATTTCACTTCGTAGCATATATTTTCAAATTTTCTACATCTCATTTCAAAACAATGTCTTATCAGTCCACTAATCTATATTTTCTATTACCATGTTTCGTATGTTCGTTTGCAACATTTACTATGTTTCGTATGTTCGTTTGCAACATAGAAATTAAATATACTGTTTTCAGTCTATACATTTGCATGGTTTTTGTATTCCGTTACTTTTGGATGTATATAAACTATTGTCTTTCCATTCTTGAATTACTTTAAAAGATTAGTTTAAATTTACGTTAGCAAATAAATAAAATCGCGTTAATGTGGTTTGAAACTAAGTTTTATACATTATTAATAATACGAACACACTAATTAATCCGTTCGTGCTTTTCCGAATTATCAGAAAACGTTACTATGCTGTTATCGTTAGTTATCTAGCGAACACCATATTATGAAAAATAGATTTAGCGAAAGAATTATGAAATAATGGTCAGTTATTAAATTGTAAACTAGAACAATCGTTATACAAGAGTCTAACTGTGAGATACTCCAACTAAGGAGTCGAACACTTGAAGTTTATCATAAATAAGACCGTATTGTAGCATAAGGAAATTGTAGTATTTTAATCTTTAAAACAATAAATTTTAGCAGTTGTGAACTTTGAATTTTTTCAAATTTTTTATCACACTTAAGCACTTTGAGGATATGGTTGCACTGTATAAATTACCGTAAAATCCCACAGTTTAGTCATATGAAAAAACCTAAGAGTTGGCAGCAGGTGCTATTGTATAGCTACTTACCCTCCAGTCTATCAGTTAAAATCTATGGACAGTTTTACACAGATAACTCTTTTTCTTGCTTTGTGCGAAGATCCTAAACATAACAAATTTTCATCATAATTGTAAACATCACAAGTCGATTACTTTTCCACCACGTTTCTTAAGAACAGTGAGTACATCACTACTTGTAGTAACGTTAAATAGAGCAACAAATATTAGGACATATAGACTATAAAAGACCATTGTGTATCGCTAATTATTGTTTCTTCAGGGTTGAACTATTTAATCTTCGCTATGAATTTTCATAGGCTTATGGATTATAAGTGTATTTATCCCAAAATACCTATGATGTATGAATTCTTCAATTTATATTACTCTAATTTGAAAATACTGTTAGACATTTTCAATGTTATTTTCCCTTTATAACACTGACTTTCGACTGGGAAGAATTTCAATAGATTACTGGATGAGTGACCGGTAGAAATGTATGTCAAACGTTTACAGTCAGTGTTATTACTACACATTTTTAACGTTCTCTGTACAAAGTATAAGCGCAAGGTTTATGACGTTTCGAAATAAGTAATTTCTAAGGTAATTACACCACATATTGTATAAACAAGTGAAAGCTGGTGCGCATATGCTGTAGAAGATTTCGTAACTGTCAGTGGATGCATGTATATAAACAGCTGA